AACCAGAAGCAGGGGCACGCTGCAAATAACGATTTGGTATGGCATCAACATCCGACAAATGGCCATGGGTCAAAAGCCCGTACCCCCAGTGAACATCCCCCCAAAATGGCACCATTGGTTCTGACCCACAGCCAAAAAAGCATTTCAAGCAAAAGCTGTGCTCCGTGTCGGTTTCCCCAGATTCCAAGAGTCTGTGGTATACCCTCAAGACTGTTGAGCAAATTTTTGCAGCCGGGGCGACACAATGTCCGCAATCAGCCGCTCCTGGTAGTTGCCCACGGTTTTATCCGAGTCTCGCACCTCCAGGAAATGACTGATGCCCGGGCATGCTGTATCGGGTGCGACAGCAATTTCACAAGAACGAGGGAATTGCTTGACAATGAGCAACTCTTTATAGCCCGATTGGACGTGCCACCCTGCAAAACTCTACAAGTATCTCCTCCCAATTCATGAATTTGCCCCTCATGCCCTTCAAAGCCAACGTGCCTTCTTGGTTCTAAATTCCTGAAACCACCCAGATCATGCTCTTGGGTCGTTCTGTGACTTTGAGCAGCAAACGGCTTTGCCACCCGTCATTGAAGCTGTACTGACTCAATGCGTGTGCTTGGCCCCGGCTCTGTCCGCAATGGCTGCCCCCTGTGATTTTATTGGGCTGAATGATGTGCACGCATGATATGGCCATGGGTCAAAATCCCGTACCCCCAGTGAACCAATCCCCACTAAAATAGACTAAAATTGGTGTTGCACCTACCCCAAAATGGTACCACTGGTTTTGATCCACAGCCATATGCCAAAAGGAAGTTCTGTGGCCAGGCTCGTCCCTTGGCGCCTGCGCACGAAAGAGGGGTGCGGGTATGGACACCACTCCCATAGGCATGCTGTATCTCACTGCCGGCAGGGTGAGCTCGAAAACGCCATTCGCTGCGTCGATGGGCCTCACGCTCCAGCCCTCCCCACAGAGATCCTGGCGAGAGATCACATGTCATGCAAGGAGGAAACGGCTGTGGGTCAAAAATAGGCACCCAAAATGGAACCCTGGTAAGTGGAAACATGGACCAAACTCTGCGGCCCCCTGGTTGAATTTTGACCCACACCCAAATGAACTGCTCAAGTTGTTGAAGCATGCTTGCCATGTTGGCCAGAAAGAAAGGGTGTATCTTAAGTGTTGGCTCCCTTTGACAGGGTAGATATGAGACTGGCTAAGAGCCACTTAAGTCAGCTGGAGCTCCTCAGACCTGTATGCAGCGAAATCGGGGCTGGTTGGATAGGTCTTTGTCGAGGGCCCGCTGGCACGCCGCCATGTGCATCATCAGTGGTTAATCTACGTGGGCAAAATGTGTATAAGAGCTTGGCACACAATTTCTAGCGTGATTGAACCATCATCATTGTAGTCAAGGACATTTTGCTGACCACCCATGACAACTAGCATTTCATGTCAAACATCTCCGTGTTGGATGGCCACAGAAACTGCAGTGACTGCATGTCCTGCAGGACCTGCTGATTCGTCTGCCGCATCTTCTCTTCCGCCAGCTCTGTCCCGGCTACGCCGGGCTCGGAATCCAAACGGACCACAAGGTTCGCGGCGTCCATGCCAGGCACCACCGGGTCCTCCTGCCCGCGTTTCCGACTCTCCGACACCAAACGATGTTTCTACGCGACTCTCCAAGGCTAGGCTTGGTGTCCACTCCGCAATCACCAAGCCTTGCTGATGTACAGTCATGTGGCCATGGTTCAAAACCAATGGTCACATTTTGGGAAGATAGTGCACCACCCACTTTAGTCTATTTTAGCGGGGATTGGTTCACTGCGGCAACGGGGTTTTGATCCATGGCCATTTCGCCATCTCTCACTTGCAAAGGCTCTATCATGCACGCATCGCTTGTTTCGCGCTCAGCACGCGTCGAATCAAAGAAGCATCCAACCACCCAGGGCAAGAAACAAGTGCACCGCCAAAATGGCCTGCGACTGGCTGTCATCAAACGCTTGTCTGCCAAAATGGGAACCTGCCCATACCAAACCAACTATTGACAATGACAACATGAACGAGCAATCGGGCTGTTCTTGGCGCCGCAATGCCTGTGTAAGTGTTCATACTACTAATACGCTCTGCCCTCTGCATGTCCCTCAACTCATATATCCCGGACACTGCGTCCGCCAAGCTCAGCAAAGCGGCTTGAGAGGCAACTGCTGCGACTGCCGCAACTGAGGCTGCAGTCTCTTTGGCTTTGACTTCCTCAGAGCAGGCATACTGAAGTGAACACCTCGTCAGACTTGTGTCAGCCGCCAGCCTCATAAGTGACATTAAACTAGTAGCACCCAAAACGGACCGTTTCCCCCAAGTCCCTGGCAACCGAGAAAAAACAACTCAAGGCAATTCTATACTCTGAGCGGTCCTTCCCATAACAAAGGCATTCAGAACACCAATGAAATAGCTATGCGGCGCGCTACAAACACCATCGTGGAAGCTGAACAAAACTCAAACTACTGTGAGCGCTCCAAAAGGGGGGGGGGGGGCGAGGGTGAGCTGGGCCGGGGTGCATCCTCTCTCGACATGATGTAACATTTTGTCTCTAACACGGCCACCTTCCTTCGGATTGACTGGCTGGCAGCATCATTCGATGAACACACACACACAATGCGTGTTGTTGTCAGTGCCCTTAGCTAACAATCGCAAAAACAAAGCTAATACGAGGTGACCACAATTGCGACAAGGGGGTACCACTGCGTGCTTCTTTTGGAATATTTGTTCTTCAGTGGCGTTTGCATGAGGTTGCAACACACAGCTCCCTCAAGCAACCCATTTGCTCAAGCAAAATCCGTGAGCCTATGTTTCATCATACTCCAGTGGCTTCGGTTTGGAATTGACGGGTATCAAAAGCCCGACACATACTTGCCACTGCACGAAGCCCCTGCTCACCCCGTCTTGACAGAGCAGTCGGGAATGGCACATCCACACGATGTTCAACTCTTAGGCCTTAACCAGAACAAGAGCATAATCCCAACATACTCTGGGCGGCAGGCAGTATCAGCGCGATACAAGCATCATGCCTCACATTACCAGTTTTTGGCCAAGCTTTGTTCGCAGCCTCTGCTCGCTTGTCCAAACAATCAGATCGAACAGCTGTCGGGCTGGTTCTTAGGAAGATCCGTAAGCCTGAACGGTGTTCAATTGAAAGAAGGAAGCCAAACGGCAAGCGGACGATGTTGGGGACACATACCGGGAGCGAATTCTTTGGATTCAGGCGCTACAACTTGCAACAGGGGACAGGTGCTTTTCATAGGTTGACGGCAGTTGAAAGACGAGTGAGTGGACTCCACTTAATGAACTGCCAAGAGAGACAGATTCGGCTTTTTGGGAAATGAACTACCCCTGGGTTTGAGTCGATATTGGGGCAAGCAAACAAATGGAAGTCGCGAAATCCTGTTGACAGACATCCAAGTTGTCCCTGGACCATCAGCTCCAAGGCACTGTGACATCAATGACATTCGCTCGCGCGGCAACCGTGGGCTTCGTTGGCACCTCGCGTCCAAACATTAATATGGGTGTGGGTCAAAATTAAACCACTAGGGGACCGCAGGTGTTAGTCCATGTTTCCATTTGCCAAGGCTCCATTTTCGGCACCTAGTTTTGACCCACAGCCATATCCTCCTTCCAACAATCACAATCGCATAAATTTATTATACTGGGGTCATCCAACCATCACAATACTCCGGTCATTGATATATAACTACACTCCTGGAGGTGGATGGGGCCTTTGCCAGAAGGAAAGCGTCCGTCTTACGAAACCCTCCGATCATCAGCTTCCATGATTGCTGGAGGGTACAGTCTCGGCCGGTCGGCTTTCCGTCGCCTATGGGTCCGTATATACAGCTGCAAAAACACGGAAAAAGCCCGAAGAATCATCAGGCAAGATAAGCTTTGGAACAAGAACTCAACTCGACTCTCATGAAACACTCTCGTGAGATGTGTCTTTTCAATCTGGGAATGCACATCTTGGGGCAGAAGCAAAGGAACCAGTACGCTAGTCATTTCCAGCACAAGTAAGGCGTCTCAGGCCTGCATGTTGCATAGGGCGTGGGGTCCCCAACATTCATGCTCGACTCCGTTCTTCAGCTCTTGTTTAAGCCATGGTTTACACATCAAACTACCACACACGTGCACACACGCAAGGCATAGCTCCACCACCGCAGGGATGCAGCCGTTGAACACATGTGGGCTCCGACATAGCTATGCTCAGTCATTCTGATTCACATACTCGGCGAAACTCACTTCAGGTATGCAAAATATCATGTCAGGAAAAAAGGCGGGGCAGCTTTCAACAACCCTCGACAAATTGTGCCAGCGCGTGACACACGAAAGCAGGGGCAAGCGTCAGCATGATCGCTTTCGGAGAATGATTGAATCTAGCCGTGCTTCAAAAGCAAGCGAGCTCACTCGCATTGAAGCCAAAAGAGGCCCAAAAGTTAAAGCAGAGAGGCGAGATGGCCCCATCTTCCCAAGTTACCCACCCAAATCCGATTTCACATGCCGCGTGCACTGAGCTCCACCAGGCGAACATGCTGAGAAAGGCCAGGAGTCGCCTCACGGAAATTGAAGCGGCCGAAGCTTTCGGCGAGGCGGCGTTGGGATAGTCGCTGGGGAATGGAAGCAAATGCGCAAGCAGGGCAATAGCTCAACAATGGAGAAACTGAAATAGCTCTCTCAGCAATGCTTCTTATTTGTACTTCTAGGCTTTGGAACGGTCAAACAGCTGTGTTCGCTGCAACCGCAACAATTAGATATCAACCAGGATGAAGCAGGCCCTGGACAGTCAAGCACACGCTTAGCTTGCAGAGAGAGATGGTCAGCCACCCTAAGTTGTAAAGTTGAAGATGGCCAACCTTGGCCAAGTAGTCAGGTCCAAGTGAGAATTATCCGCGCCCCTGTCAATGCCTTCGCACGCACCCATGAAGCGCTGTTTATGTGATTTGTGCTTTGCTTGTGTTGCAATGGCGCTAGTTGTGTCTCCCACTATAAACACGCACACCATAAGCATGCACAAACTGGATGGCGGATAGAATCATGTCGTTTCAAACCGGCTACGGCAGTGCTACATGATACAATCGAGATGGGAACCCACAGTGTCACATGATGCAAACAGGAAGGCCCACTGGCATTCTATTGCGGGTGCGCGCGCGCGCACACACACACAAACAATGTTGCGAGTCAAACTTGCCAACAGGAAAACATAAAATCAAAGAAGCAGGTTATTCGCACTATACCATGGACATGGCCCTTTGGGTCGGACTACAACCTCATACAGAAGTGACAAAGTTTATGACGCTTGCCACGCTGTAAAGCGAGCGCATGTTTGTGACCTTTCTTCACATTGTCAAGCTGATCCCAAAATCCTAAAGAGGTGCTCCAGACATTCATGTCGCCAATTCGGCCCTTGCTTGGAGTCCCAGACCTGAAGCCCCAGCTCCCGTCCTCGCGAAGCCCCGCAGCACCGCCCCGAGGTTGCTCCCCGAGAAAGCCGCGGGGTCCGCAAGCTCCGTGCAACTCCTCAGAGCCGCTCCGGCCATTTTTGGCACACAAATGATATGCGCAGCCTTGCTTCATACTTGATCTATAGAAAAAATACAGCAGCATAGACCCTTGATACAAACTGCATGCCCCCTAGCGCCCTGCCCTCAATCTCGCAAACATGCGCCCACTGCGTCACCAGCACCTGCCAGCAACCTGCACAGCGCCCTGCCGTCAATCTCGCACAAATGCGCAAGCGCGCCGTCACCAGCGCCTCAAACAACACCTGGGCCAGCACCACAAACTGCATGCCCCCGAGCACTCCCGCAACGTCAGCAGCACTCAAACAGCATCACAAGCAGCAACCCAAAACAGCACCTGCACCAGCACCTAAATTGAATACCCCGTAGCGCCCTGCCGTCAATCTCGCAAAAATGCGCCCGCACCATCAGCAGCACCCCAAAACAGCACACGCAGCAGCACCCCAAACTGCATGCCCCCTAGCACCCAGCCGTCAATCTCGCAAATCACGTTCCCTTCTTTATTGGAAGTTAGAACCCCATAGCTTTCAGCTATCTGGGGAAAACACACAAGCTTTGGAGGAGATCCCCCAAAAAATAGAGGTTGTTGGCCGGAGTCTCTTGGGCTGCGGTTGAATTGCTTGCACCACTTTGGGAACCGAGCACGGTCACCAAAATTCCAACGGCTGGGTATGGCCTTTGTAAATGCAACATTGATGTCTCGGACTCCGGACCAATCATGCTTTGGGAATAGGGCGTGGTTGGTGTCGCTTTGTTTCAAGTAGAAGCGAATCCTCTGTCAGCTTCTTCTTTTGCAACAACCATTTGTGCACACCCATTTGAACACGCAGGGCAGGATCGTTTTGCAGACTTACACGGGCCACAAGCATCAAACTCGGCATGCAAACTCGAATACACACACACACAATCATACGATGCCAAACATAGACCAACTACAAGTCTAAGTAGCAAATCCCAATTTTCACAGGGCGCCCGAGGAATCCGCAGGTTCCCTCAATCCGACCTTCGGCTCTTCGGTCCTTCGTCGCTGGAACTGGCGGCCAGTCAGGTCGTGGCCGCAAAGCCCAGGCGGCCGCCGCTGCTGCGGCGCCACGCTGAAGCCACCTGGGCCGGCGTTGGCGAGAACGGGCCATGGGGAGCACAAGACTCTGCTAGGAACCTGATCCCACAATGGTCACTGACACTACAGCACAAGATTGTAGCATGATCAGGACACAGCCGAGTAATAATTTCACAACACATAGCTCCACTTCCTTGGTGATTTGGCTCGGCGGTTTGGCGCTTAGGATGTAGATCCCGATTTACCCTCAATTGAGCACCAGAGGTTCAAACCCCCACCAATCCAAGCCAACAAAGGGCAATCTGACAGTTCAAAGGCCGGATCCATGAGAGCAATATCCATGCCCGACTTTCGGGCCCATTTGGCATCTGTCGGTTTTGGGTTCAGCAAACGCATCAGCTTTGAACCCAGCCCTGTTGAAACGTTTAGCCCTTCCACTCCCCCAACCAACTGTCCAAATCCGAGAGGCAGCTTCGAAGCTCCGGGCTCAATAAAATCGCCTCATGCGATGGGATCTGGCAGCGCTCAACGACACAGTGCTCAAACATCACACTTTGCCAGATGGCAAACTAGGACCCGTTCAAAAGCGAGCTTGGGCATGCCCCCTGTGAGCTCTCTTCCTCCCACATGTAGACCCCTAAGACATGCCAAAGCCAAGGCGCTGCTATGACAGCATGTTTTGGCCCAAGCATTGCTCGTCTCGAGACGCCTCTTGGAGCCGCCATCAGTTCGGGCCGGAGCTGCGAAGGAATACAATCGCGTGGTGCAAGAGCAAAGGAAGACACTTCCAGAAACCTAGAGTGAGGCGCGTTCAACAGCGGAGTCAGGTTTCGGGCACGGAATGAGTATGCTGAAAAAGGGGTTAGTCCGGACGGGGCAACCAAAGAAGAGCAAGCAGCAAGATAGAAACATGCATGTAAACAACATCTGTACTGAGCACCAAGCCGGGCAGCTCTGTCAAAGGCCCGTTTGACTGGGCTCCGCGCTTCATGGCTCCTGGCGCAACAAACCTCTGCCTTGTGCTTTGGGGCATCGTCGCTGTGAAAATCATCCACGTGATACCACCAGGGGCCGTCTGTATGACCACTTTATCAGCTTGAAGGGGGTTCCTTTCGAGAAAGCTGAAACCCCCAAATGTTGTCCAGAAGAACAAGCCTTCCAAAATGGAAGCTGTCCTTCAAGACCTGCAACAATAGAATAACGCAGTGGATGGACTGCAACAACAGAACGATACCTTCGAAGGACAAGACCCTGTACCAGTTCTATAATTAGTATGGGCCCATCTGATATGTCTTTCCAAATCGCTGTGGCTGTCATAGCAGTCAGGAATTGCGAGCACTCTCTTATCACCAGCTTCCCCACCAAGCAGTTGTAGCAGAGTGCTCGTACTTGCTGCATGCCGACCGGTGGCCCCGAAACAAGGAATTAAGTACCCCGACTGGGGTAGTACAACAGCTACGGGAAAATTGCAGCTTGTTCAGACTACCCCCAATCCAGCGGAACGCCGCGTGCCAAATGCATCGCTGCTTTGGGATCCTTTCCCGTGCCAAGAAAGCAGTGCGTTCATGTCCACAAGTTTTACCCTACAAACAGACCGCAGCTCTTACATTACCCGGTTTCTGCCGCAATTTGAGCCGGCCCCAATATAACCCTTATCTAACCCTTACATAAGCTTTGTATATCCTTTGGCTTCTGGGGATCGCAATCTGGGGGTACTGATCTCAGTCTTCGAGAAGGATATCTCGGAAAGAACACGCCAGACCGCGTGGTCAAACCAAACCAAGGCCAACTTATTCACAAGGGAGCCCAACTCAACAGACGGGACCTAGTCTTGGAAGCCAGGGGCATGGCGCACACGAGGGAGCGTCCTGGGCAATGCAACCTCCTCCCAGGTGGGCCTCGGTGAGCAACTTCTCAAGTTCCATCAGGGTGCCAATGCAGCGTGCAAATCACTACGCAGCTCTGCGGAATTCTGCTGACACAAGTAGGGGACACTCTTTCCGAGCGAATGTGCACAAGTCTGGTTGGAAGTAGCTCAGCTGACGAAACGGAATGCGTGAAGCCATGCCAAGCCTAGAACACCTGTTCTACAAACTAGTCATGCTAACCTTCTAGCCTAGAACACCAATTCCAGAATCCCCTAAACTACACTAAGCAATCAACGCCAGGATAATCGTTGTACAATAATTCAACAATCCGAAATAGACATTGGACGCTTGATGCGCGCGCATCAACCAACAGCAACATGGGTACCGAGATCGGGGGCAGGGCCCTGTGGCCGTCTCGCTCTCGGGCACCTGGCAGTCGGAACGGCCACAGCTGAACCGCAACATCATCTTCAGAATGGCGCGACTGGCAACAGATTTTCTGAAGCCAAATCATTTTGGGGGGGCCTCCAATTCCATTTATTCAGTCTTCCCAATAAAAGGGAACATGGAACCAGAAATGGATTTTCAGGGGTCACCCGCCTCCCCCAATTCCATTTTAAGGGGGTGGGGACGCCAACACACGCAGCCAGAACAGGTGTTGCTTGGGCATTTGGGTGCAGCTCTTCTGTCTCCTCCTGCTGCTCCGGCCATAGAGGTCAAAAAACATGTTCCCGCAGGGTGGCGTGCGGATGCTTTGCTCCACAAAAAGTACATAGTCCATTGACCATTGGTTCACAAGTCAAGTGTTGGTGCCCAAGGCTCGACTTTCGGGGCAAGTTTCCTGCAGGTGTTCTATCCCAAGCCTGGGATCCGATGTGCTCTCGAATGCCGGCACACCGAGCTGAAGTGCAGCTGGGAAACAAGTTCAGCAAGTGTATGTAAGCTAACCAAACGGCACCACACAAGCACGCGATAACTCTTTTATCCGAGCAATGTGTTGGTGCCAGGGACTCATCTTCCCCTGTCAGATGTCAACGGCTGGGTGGGCCCCATGGGCCACCCACCTCAAACTCTCAGAACGGGTGTGCAGACTGATAGCGCCCGCCCCTGAGCCGGGGCCCGGGGCACCCAGGCCACAGGGGGGTCTGCCACCAGGGGAAGTGAGTCACCCACCGGCTCCGGTCACGGGAGCATGGGTGGGCCCACGCTAAGATCAAATGCATCTCCATTCAGGAGACGCGGGAGAAAAACGAACTCCTCGCAGAGTTCCTGTTTGGGGACCCTGTGCAAAGGGTCGAACCCAGAGAAATCTGGGTGCGTCAGTTCATCAGCCCACTGGTTGAATTCCCGGGGCACGTGGTTGGCCGCCAGCGAGCAGCCATGGGTGTGGAGCAGGAAGACCAGCTCCATCAGGATCGCCGCGGTGTAGGGCTTCTTGGATCCAAGGTTGAGCATCGCCATGACGTTGCCCTGATTGTCACTGCCCACCGGGAGTCGGACCCGGGAGGACAGAGGGCCTTGGTGCGTGAGGATCATGTTACAGAGGAAGAGCGTGCCCAGCATTTCCAAAGCCGCAATCCTCCGCTTGGGATCCCCATTCTTGAATGCCCAAGGGTACTCCTCCACGTGGATCTGCTCGTGGAACCAGTACACCTCCTTCTTTTCCGGCTCCATTTTGTTGGAGCACCATCCTCCCACAAATGCCAGTCCTTCGTCCGAGGCGCTAGCATCGCTGCAACCCCACCAAGAGGACTTCGGCAAGTAAGGGGAGTACTGGACGAAGGGCGTGTTGAAGAGGAACCGCAGCATGAACGCCAGCATCCTGACCACCTTGGGGGGTTTCCCCACCGTGGTGGTGGCCATCTTCCAGGCCCAAAGTGGCTGAAGCATCGACTTCGCCAGCGGACATGCAGCAGTTGCCCATTGGATGCGGCCCAGGGCCTTCTCGATGTCCTTTGAGTGCATCGCCTGCCCTTCCACCATGGTCTGCAAGACCTCCATCACCAGGATGTGTTTGTTGGCGGCCATGAGAACCTGCGGGATGTTCGGGTGGACCACGAAGCCCAGCCACGTGTTGACCTCCGCCAAATGTGTCTTCTTCCAGCTAAGCGGGGTGCCCAAGGCCAGGAGTGTTGCCAACAGCGCCACCGCCAAGTTTACTGCCCCCTCGCTGCGAAGCAGCCACAGGAAGTCATCCACAAAGACGAAGTTCCAATCCACTTGAGGGAAAAGTGCGTAGAGGACCCTGAGTAGAAGGGCTGCCAGGCGTCCCCAGTAGGATTGGGCACTGGCCATGCCGTATGTGCCTACCTTGTTCACCCACCATTCTTCCCCCAGTGAAGCCACCTGGAACCGCCAGTCCTTCCTGAGGACCTTCACTCTCCGGTGGGCCTTGGTGACGTCCGCCTTGAGCAGCACCCACCTGGTGCCCGGCTCCGGCCATAGCCAGCCCCCAGGTGGAGGTTTGACGACCTCCTTCTCGGGGCCAGGGGCACCCTGAGAGGGAGGCCGCATGTAGCCAATGAAGAGCTTGTACCCCATCCAGCACCGTCGGAGCCGTCGTCCTTTCCACCGTCTGGTTCCTGATTGTGTCATTGGCCCCGCCCACCGAGCCATCGTAGATGGTGCTTGTCCCCTTCGTCGATGCCCGCTAGGGGGCCGGGACAAAGGTCCTCAATCTCGCAGCCACAGCGCGATGCTGCCTCCACCTTGGTGAAGGGGCCCTCTACCATGCCCATGGGGACCTCCTCCAGGAATGTGCCACGGATGAGCTCACTGAAGTGATCCGCCGAAGGGTAGTTACCCCGGGCTGTGGGATGAGGGAGTTCCTGAAACTCCGGCTCCTCCCCTTTTAGCTCCTTCTTGAGTGGCCAGATGCCCGGCGAGGCCAGGGGTGGGTCCGTGACCCCCAGTGGGACCCCTTGTTCGTGGTCGGGGTCCTGAATGTTCAGCGCCACGCTGTGCAAGATGTCCAGGAAGAAGGGTTGGCCTTCAGCTGGTCGGCCTGCCCCCGGCGCTAGGATCTCCCTGATATCCTCCAGCAGGTCCTCCGGGAAGGGATGTGACCCGTCCCCCAACGAGAGCGACTCCTGGAGCTTGTCCCCCCATGGCGAAGAGATCTTGGCCCCCATCGCTGCTGCTTTGGACAGTGGCCGAGTCCACGGGGCCAGCCGTCCCAGTGAGGGCTTCCCACCCCCGCCCCTTAGGGGGCGCTGTTTGAAGGCCATCTGGAGGTACATAACCTTGTCGGAGAGATTTGGGTCGTGCGTGATCGGCAGGGTGGTCAACGGCGTGCCCATGGCTCAGGGGAAAGAGTTCCACCCCGAAGTTCGACCATCCCGCCAGCCGGCTGTGTTGGTGTCCGGACCTCCGGATTGTCTGAGGCCGAGACCGGAAGTGAGCCCAGGGTTAGTCCCGCCAACGCTTGTTGGCCGGCCTTCAGCCTCCGGGACTGGCGCTTGTTGTCCCCCGGCGTGCAGGTTCCCTCTGTCGCCTCGGGGGGGGTCGTTGGGTTCGCCTGGGGCACCATGCCCTCCAGGTCCTCTAAGCCCCACAGGGTCTGCTCCGCTCTGCCCCTCACCGGCGGCGGGCCACCCGGTTTGGGGAACCATCTGAGAATGCTCCACGTCCTGCAGTTGGGGCCAAAGGCGACCTTGCCCGCCATGGCCATGGAGCACATCGTAGAGTAAGGCTCATTTGTTAGCATGTCCTGTCCAAGATCTCCACCCTTTCGCCTGATGTCCACTGCCCAAATGTACTCCGAGAAGGCCGGGTTGTAGGCATGGAGGTAAGCATCCAGGGCCCCCGCATCATCCTTCCCAGCGTACAGCAGGATGAGGGACGGCTTTGACGACTCCGGCACCGGACGTGGCGT